GTTTTCACTCCTCGAGAAACAAATATGGACACGTGGATTTCCAAATAACTTCCCCTGAAGAGTTTCTTTTGCCCTACAAGCAGACATTAGACTCCTAAACTGAACAAAAGCATAACTACGCCCTGGAAAAACAGTAATCTTCTCTATCTCACCAAATGGTGAAAAGGCCTTCCTCAGGATTGCTTCATCCACCTTCAGTAAAGTTGGGAACCCTATCCACAAAACCTCACTGGGTTCTGCACTTCTATCATTGGTCTTTGATTTGTTGGGATTAAAAGTTTCAGGACTTGCATGATGTGCTCTAGGATCCCTCTGTGAGAAAGGGGAGCCTCTCAATGTGGAGTATTGGTCTTCATCTTGCAATGCTGTCCCTGACTTGTCCTGTTATTGAGAATATAAGCAAGGTAAGGGAAAAACAAACCCTTACTTTTAGCATTTGAAAATTCATTTTATATAGATAATCAGATATGATATAAAAAGTATGTGCATTAATTTAATGAGCTGTAGAGATTAAAAAAAAAAAAAAAGGAAGAGAGAAACGAGGAATAAATCACGCCTTCATACTCATGTATTAATATTAAACAATCATATCTTTTTGCAAGAGCAACCAGAAGATGTTTTTGACCACTAGTAAGAAAATTTTCTTAAGCTACTCAGTACAATGAACTGTAGCTGGGTGCAAGACCTGAGATTCAATTTTATTGATTCTAGTTACAGTAGTGTAAGTAGAAGCAATACCCTATGTGTCCTTGCCTTGAACTACTTGGACCACTAGCGAGTCTTTTCAAGCATGCAGAAAAACAAAAAAGAATGAACATAAATGATTTCATAACGCCATACTTGAACCTCCCTCCCTCCCTCCTCCCATCTCCTTCTTCCCCCAACTTCCCCCCCCCCCCCAAGGGGGGCCTCACAATAAATAACCATTTCAAAATACACAATTAAGTACATGAAAAGCATAAAAAAGAAATGTAAGCAAAGAAAAAGAAAAACCAGATAAACAATTAAAGCAAAACTGGAGCTCAAACATTAAAGAGCCTCTGTTTCGTACTACATCAAAATGCCAAATTACAGGAACTCATTCAGACACCAGATTGCTGGAAAAAAGACCTCTGTGTTTCCCCATATCTGCAGCCTCTAACCCATATCTGCAGCCTCTAAATTGCTAGAGTTAAGCAAGTGAGATCTCGACTTTCAAGATTCAAGAGTCATTTCAGCCATTGAAGTAGCTGGAAAGATAGTACCATCTCTCAAAATCTGCATAAACTATGGTGCCATGCTGTAAATAAAGCTAAACTAAATGTGGTTGCCTCACATTTCCAACTTGTCTGAAAACTACCATTGAACTGGAACCTTACATATTTATTTGTCCAAAAGCTAAGAAATTAAAAAAAGAAAAAAAGAAGGAAAAAAAAACACTACAAATATCAGTCAAATTGAACACAATTTGTGTGGCCTTAACAAAGTGTTGGGTGGCCATAACCACACCCTATGTATCACTATGACCAGTTCTACTCATCAGTGCATAATCAAAATCTGCTGTTAATAGAAAAGCAACTGACTCCTAGCAAGCAAGCCTTTTAAAAAAAGCCAGTCGTGTTCTAGTAACGATAACTGAAACAATAGTTGAGGTTCTGATATTTTTCACCAGAACAAAGGTCAGAACAAGGTAAGTACTATGCAGTATTATCCAAGCAAAAGATGTTCAGTTGATACACATGGAAATACAAAAAACAAGTTTGAAAAGACAGAAAAAATGCCACTTTCCAACAGGGAGAGTGAAATAATGCAGAGTAACTGTCAGTGATTGTGTGAAGGAAACAAGAAGTTTTCCTCATTTTTTACCTGTTCCACAGAGTAATCCAACCATCACATAGTCAGGAAAAATAATAAAAGAACACAAATAAGGCTGTGATGCATCTTTAAAATAATTAGAGATGCATCCCTGAAAGAGTGGAAAGCATTAATTCTACAAGAATTGGTGGTTTTCAATTTCTGACCTGAGAATTTATATTTCTTGACTACTAGAGAAGCAAGCAGAAATCAAAAAGTCACTTCTCATGGATTCTCCAAGAACAATTGTATAAACCTAATAAATAACTTTATTACACCAATATCTTTTCACCTAAGGCAGTAAAGTGTCAAGAGGATTACATCTGGAAAGAGACGCTAGCCTGATATGGATATAAGATTATTTGTTTTCTGAATAGGCCACTTATATTTTTATTTCTTATTAAAAACCATTACATGATACTTTCTGGGGATATTGAAAATGACAGGCAGGTCAACACCAAACTTCTATGACCAATTAAATGGTGAAGAAGCCTGTTAGAGCAATGAAGCACCCAGTTTCCATCATTATACATCATTCTGATCTTTCATTTTAGAATCTTCTTTTCCTCTTGGTGCATTTTATTATGGTAGGTAATATACTAAAAAGGCATTAGGTGATAAAATTGCAAGGACGTTACCATGAATTATGCTTTTAGATCACTTGAGACAAGGCAGCTTCTGTTGTCAGGCATAACTTGCAGAGCGAATTGGGGAGTAAATCTAGAATAGTTGTCTTGAATTGCAGGTGCCCAGGAATCAATAGGGAATGCAAAACACGTTAATAACAACACAATCAACATAATGATACTTATTTTTGCATATTAAGGTTAGAAACTGTTTCCTTGAATGTTAATCTGCACAAAAATAAGTAACATGAATCATAGCAACAAAATGGTAAGAGAAGGTCTGAATACAGATTTCACCATGCATCTCAAGCTGTGGCAAACTGCAAGTAAGTTTTAAGCTAATGTAGTTCCAGGTATCATGGAAATATCTAAGATGGAAGGAATGGAACTTATAACTCAGTGCTAGTGCTAATACCCCAGAATGAATATGAAACATTTGAAAAGACATAACTTGAGCAGACCATATGGACCTGTAACTATTATATAGTTTTGCTATCCTAATATTTACTCCTTTAAATGTCAATCTGATGCTCTCTTCCCTTATTGTTCTCATTGTGTTCGCATTAAAATTTTTCAAGAATCTACTGGTACCGTAATAATTCTTTCCTCAATTCTTGAGCATAGTTGTTTGCTTTCAAAGTGGCCCCTAGGTTTACTATCAATGCAATAACCCTCTTCGATTAAGGAAGATGATTTTGTGATTGCTTGCAGTTAAATATCTTGAATGGGAAAGAGCTTCCCATTTCTGTCATTGCATTTATCTTAACAAGATATATCCATCATTGTTCCTCATCTTTAATGAGTTTTCCATTTTAGATATTTGTTGGGGTAGATGCTGCCTAGCTAAGAAAAAGATTAATGACTCCTCAATCCTCATAACTCGCAAAATTTGCGTAGTTTTTCTAGCATCTATGCAGAACCCTCTAATGAATGTCATGTTCATTATGCTTCACATGCAAATTGGGAGGTGAACGTTGCACCAGCATGACACAACCCACTTCACAAGAACAAATTTGCTTGTTCATGTTCAAGTATGTGTGAACTTGTGGCAGGGCGAGAAGAGGAAATTAAGAGAGGAGTGTTAATTTGAGTGAGAATCAGATCATATACAATTTTGCCAACAGCAATGAAATGGTCTGTTTCGCTTTCTATTAAAACCCCATATTCTTTAACATTTAGAATAGAATCCCAAGAAAGAAACCATCAATGGAGTTATATTCTTTGCAGTCAAATTGTACACACAAGGTTGAGTATGATAGTTCTTGTTGCTTAATAATTATCAGTCACAAAGGGCTGAGCAAAAGATTTAAAACTACAGATGATGGAAAATTAAACATTATTGTGGACGTCTAGCTCGACAAGTCTACATTTGATGAGGATGCAAATGTGCCTAATGTTAAACAATGAAATCTTTTTATTCATCCACTAAAGCTATAACCTGCAAAACAAGGTACTCCTCTTATGATCAAACGCAGCCATATGCTTCTTCTGCCAGCCAGTATAGCAGAGATTTTAGGCATCCTAGTTCCAATAATAAAGTCACAGATCCACCTTCATATTAGATCTTTTATGGGTTCACTTTTTTCTTTTGTGGCATTTAGACTTGGCAGAAGGAACAGGGGAAACCTTTGATTTGGTTGCAAATGCATCCATTTTTAAGTTAAAAATTCACATATAAGACAATATTCAATCAAGCCATAAACATTTAGAAGCAAACTCTTATAAGGAACTAATCCCACCGCTGGTTGTTATTCTTTTTAAGGTTACAGGTCATTCTGAAAGTGATTATCAACAAAGATGATTAGTAATATCATTCAATAACTGGTGGCCTGAAAGAGTCCTCCATCCTGTAGAGTGTGAATGCTTTAAAGTTTAACCAAAACTACCAAAAATGTGCACTGTAATAGCAATAATTAGACAATTCTTCACAACTGTGATACCTTAGATAATAATGCAAATGACAGATTGAATGGTGCAAGAGGATAAACTGTTGATTTGTTCTGCATTGCTTTGCATGTCCCCAAGCAGATTTACAAAATAGCAAAAGACTCTGGACCTAGTGATAAGTTTAGAGTTCTGGAATGAGGCAATGAATGAGCACTCTAAAGGCATAAAGCTAACCCAGAAAAGTGCAAGACTTATGCTGAAAGCTGAGCAAAGTGAAGCCTCATCAAGAATATACATATGGTTCTCAGTATTCACTTTTTAGAGTTTATCATCTCTTAAATGGAGTAGATGGGGCTAAATTTGCTGCTACTGAGAGAAATAAATTGAATGGTCTTCAAAGACGAGACCAGAGGCAGTATAAACTAGTACACTGCAAATGAAGCTTGATTGTTCTATTTTCATAGTTATCCAATCTGGCATGTCTTTCAAAGGAATGAATGGCATTTATGGCGCTATGAACTGCCTGTTCATTTTGAAATTTCGTTAATATTCATTTTCCAGGTGGGTAAATTATGTTTACTGAATTTCTTATTTTTGATCATATTTCCGTTTGTTCACACCATTCTGGAAGTAATGCTGTGTTAAAACAACACTCATAAAGCCAATCAAATTCATCTCACAGGGAACAAGAAAATACAGAATAGAAAACACAGTGAAAATTAGAAGAAAAAGGGAGAATAATGCAAGACTAACCGCCTTGGCAAACTCAACCCTAAGTGGATTCCCAATGAGGGGAAAACCTTGAAGCGACTTCATGGCAACATTGGCATCGTCCTCGTTTTTGAAATTGATAAAGGCATAGCTTCGTCCAGGCTGAAACGCGACGCTTTCGAGCTCCCCGAACCGCAGGAACTGATCGGTGAGGTCCTGCTCGGCTATCCTATGAGAAAGATTTCCCACCCAGAGGTGCCTCGAAGGCGGCGCATTGCTCCGCCCAGAACTTGCTGACCCCAGGTAGTCCCGCCGAGAACGATCCCGACCTTCTCCACGGCCAGACTGCACATATCAGAAAACGAACACAACACAAGCATGAATTGTGATTGACCGAAAAATGCCAATAGGGGTGGGATAAGAGTGGAAGATAACTAACCATGGTGGTTCTGGTATTGGGGTTTCTCCGATTGAAGGGTAAAAGCAGCGGAGGGATGGAGAATTTGCACGAGGTTGTTGGAGGGGACGCAATCTATGCAAGTAAGCAACGCAGCACCACTTAGAGGTTGAGAAAAATCGGACCTTTTTATTTTAGGGTTTGCAGAAAAGAAGACAAATAATTGTCGTATCAGAAAAGAACATTGAGAAAACTATGAAAACTCCTAAATATTTAAATCACTATTTTACTAAATTATAAAAATAATATGGTTAAAGAACCTGTCCTATGGGTCTACGGGTCAAGTCACGTTTTGATGGTTCATTTTTTCCTATAAAGGGCAACGATTCCACCGGTTTTATGGTAAAAATGTTTAAAATAATAATAATAATAATAATATGGTTAAGGCTAAATCTCAAAGCATATTTTTATTGTCTTAAAATTATATTTTATTATTTTATATTATCCTATTATATATTATATTATAAAAGTTTTTTAAATTAATAATAAAAAATATAATAAAAATATTCTTCGCTCATATATATATATATATATATATTTATATAGAAACATTGTTGAAAGTGACCATTTTATTGTTTTTTTGGCATATGATACTAATTAAATACCATTTTTTAACCTTTACTTAAGAAAGATATACTTGGCATATATAAGGAAAAAAAAATTACAC